ATGGGCTAGCAATAGTCGTTCGAATAAGACATGATGAGAATGCATTTCGTAAATACTACAATCAAATTCTCCAACTTCTCTCTTCTTGCAACCTCGGCATGTCAGTTGTAAGTTTAACAAATTTTCTTGTGCCTTACGAGGTTGTTCGGTGGAACCTTTATTAGTTCTAACTGATCAGCGCTCTGTGTGGCAGCGGACTTTTCCGCTCGAAGGGTGGAACCGACGGCCTCTGAAGACGACGATTCAGTCGAAACGTTAGGCCATTAATAAAGGTTCCACCGAACAACCTCGTAAGGCACAAGAAAATTTGTTAAACTACAATCAAAAATAAAACAACAAACAAATACCAACACCACGCGAAGAATTTATTAATACTGTCGCTATATAATTGTTTACACTGTCAAATTGATATTATTTTTCGTTGGGAACAACCAATTTTCGATCAAGCGTACACCCTTCACACTAGTTTGTGGCCTCCCTGGTTCGTTCCGCCAAACATGTACCTTCATTATTCCAAAAGTTTGCGGATTGCCAATCGGAAAATTCGATCATTCCGCTTACGGGGCTGTTACCAAACAGCTCCTTAATATAGTCAGCGGTCTTTATAAGAAGTAGTCACAGGGGTAACATTACGATAGGTGGTATAAACCTGTATGGACATAAAATTCGCAATAGATCGGCGCTCGTATATCCCAGAATGCCTTCTTTAAACTGGTGAGTTTTACCACTGTAATTTGCACCACTGGGTCAAATTTATCTTGAAGTTGTTTTTAGGACATTTTCTTTCATTGTAGATTCATAGAAAATCGAACTTTTATCTCGGGTCGGAAATGGAACTAGAATCCTTGCTGGCTGCCAAGTTTGAAATCGTCGAGAGCTGTTGTAATGCATCGATTTCCTTTGAACAATTATAGGACGCTATGAGAATTAGGCACTCTCGCAAGCAACGGGGCACCTCTAAAGCCAAGCCTAGGACGGGAAGAGTTTTGAAGAAAATGAGAATCTTCCTCGCACCCTGTACTCTCTCCTCCCCGCCTAAGGCTCGGCCCCATTTTTTTCAGAACGGAGGTGTTTAACGTGCTTTGAGCTTTGCCAACAATGCCTCCGTATCTTGCGATAGCGCCCTTTGGATTCTATAATCTGCCACGTCATGCAATAAGATAAGAATATGGAATTAAATGACTAAAATAAAAGGCCAAAGTGACTAGAGCGGAATTCGATCTATTGAAGGCGCTTTGATTTCCTGCATTACCTTTTTCAGAGGTTGAGAAGAGCATACCTCGCTTTGAACCGACGATTTTGTAGAGAAAACCGGGTGAATGTGATGCCTGATGAGCTATTATATATTTCAAATGTATTGTCTCCCATCCAAACCGTCATTTTCAGGTCTTCGTGATACCATCGAAGAAATACAAAGATCTGGATGATGCTGTCGTCGATTATGAGGAACGGTACGTGTCACAACCACGTGGACGCTACCGTACCCTTCCGTGCATCGACGTCGTCGCCGTGTCATCAGCGGCCGTCGCCTGCACTACTGCACCCGAACCGGATCATCACTATGCGGAAATCGAATTTCGACCGACTACCGTATCACTGGACGATAAAAAATTTGCGGAGAACGCCTGCGTGGTATAACACCAGCGGACCACACCCAGTTTTGTAGAGAATGCTTC